GATCATTTCATCTTAGATTTTTTTCATAAAGCTGTATAAGTACACTGTCTTAATCAATTAAAACATAATTTTCCCATGACATAAAATCACTAGTTTGTAAGTGAACACTGGTAGATAGTGATAAATTAAAAATGTATTTTAATACTGGTCTCTTTGTAAGTTTTAAGAAAATTGCAAGTATAAATTCTATGTAGGATACTCCTGACTTCAGATTTTTAAGTTATCCAAAAAATATAAAAGTGTAATATTTTGACATTTGGAACTGTGATGGGTAGGTGTGTCACTGAAGTGAGAAAAATGAGACTTAAGAAGAACTAAATCACACATTTTCTGATTGCTGACTTAAAATTCATGAAACTTTGTTAGTCAAAACACATCGGAAATAGTTATATATGTTCATTAAGCATAAATAGATTATGTTCTATAAACAACAGTTTTTATTTTGTTACTAGGAACTTATGCAATCCTGTCAGTTAATTCAAATTTAATTCCTGAAAGATCCTTCAATTGCACTAACTCTTGAATATAGAGTTCAAATATAATTTCCAAAAAGCACAACATATTTATTACTTATGTTGTTTGATTTACATAGGATAATTTAAAATAAGAAAACAGTTATCACAGATCTATAAATCTACTTAGTTGCCTAAATATCCAGGTACTTGATGTCATTGACAATAGTGGAGTCTTGGAAAACATTTACATGAAGAGGACTAACCACATAAAAAAGAACTGGAAAAATTATCTCTTCAGTTCAGGTTAACTTAAACTAGTAATGACTGAATATCATTATCAAAAGTTGGTGGGTTATAGACATACATGGCATGGTTTGTGGTCTCAGTTATTTTCCTACTTGTTAAACTCTATGCCATATACATTACTATTTCAAAGGCCAATCTGGTTGGCTGCTTTAAACAAAGAAGCCACTAATCAGAGATTTTTACTAGTCCTCATTTGATCTGACCAGCACTGGATCACAAGATACGTGTGACTGGGTATTTTATATCATTTCACCTTTCATTATTTTGCCAAGATAGGCTTTTTGAGTAGATGAACAAAAATGTCTAATATCCAGCGGACTTAAATGTCAGGTTTCAAAATCAAAATCTGATTTTTAGGATTAAGAGAATTTGAGAAGAAAAGGCCATGTTAAATAAGAATCAACAAGTCAGAGACCAGATGTGAAATCTGCAGTGACCATTAGAGAAAAGGAACAGCAAAGAATGTGTAACTTCTTTGCTCTGTGAAATATATGTATACATATATTCTTATATCCTCCTACTTCCGAGACATATTCCATTTTAGCTGTGAGGAGACAGTCAGTATAAGACAAATTCCATCCTAAATTATTATGTGAATACTTGAGATAGCCATGAAAACTTTTCATGGACTCAAAAGATTATACCCACTATAAAGTAAATAAATAAATATGGATGTAATTTTAACCAATAGCAATGTTACTTGAAAGCATTTTATTATCTCATAACCTGTAGATTACCAAGATTGCTTTTCTCAACTGTAAAATATTAACAAAGTTTTGCTGTTCATATATATTAATATATAAACACACATAGATATTATGTGTGAATGTATGTTTGTACTTCGGTAGAATGAAAGAAAATCTCAGAAAAGTCAATAAGTTTAATTAGTAAATCATTACTCATTAATTAAATTTTTAAGTGATCAGAATATATTGAGCAATGGGAAATAAAAGGCTCTCAAAAATTGTACTTCATAATCTTTAATTAAATGCTATCTTCTAGTAACAGTAAGATGGGTCTAAGAGTTTTGATTTAACTGATAATCTCCTTCTTACATAACTAAACAGCTTGACTCTGGGGAAAAAAAAGCTTTACAAAGTCTGAGAAGAAAGCCTTTAAAACGTCTACTGTTTATTTGAATGTTATTTACTAACTCCTCCCTATGAAGGTAGAGTTAAAGGCATGGATTTAACCTTTGGATTCACATGACCACTATCACATTCAGACTTGCATGTGTCTGTGATTTCTACTAAAACTGAAGAACACAATGTTCTGAAAAAAGCTCATTACATTGAGTGATGGAACATTTGTCATTTGTTTAAAACCCCAAACCTAATTTATTTCCTTGTGACTTCCATAGGTTTTCCTGAAGTCTTCACTGTACCATACATTCCAAAAGACAGATTATATGATGTTCTGGTATTTCATGAGAAAAATGAAATTTGACTAGTTTAGCAGGGGAAAAAAAGTTGTGCACCGCTTTTAAAAAGAAGCATCCTAACATTTAGCTGTATTGCATATATTTAAAGAAGACAGAAGTATCTCTGAGTGAATGTTTCTTGAGGATAATTTGTATGTGACTGCTGAGATTTACAGAGTTCTCACATTTGCTTCCCCCACAAGGATTCTAAATCAGATACTGGTTCAGAAGAAGAACCAGCATACCCCATTTTTCTAATATTATCACTTCTCCAGATGGTCCTGAAAACATCTATTCAATTCCTTTTTCCTAGAAAGTGAGGAAGTGCCTTATTGGATATGTATGTATATTCACCTCAAATATTGCCTTCTTGTTCTTCTTTTCTTTCTCATTACATATCAAATCTCTTTCATCTCCTACCAGACACGAGGACAAGTAGAGAGTCAGCACAGTGATTGCCTGAAACTTTGTCTTGGCAACCTGAGCAGTGAGAGAGTTAATGGTGGATCTTTGAAAACAAGTGACCATGGGAAATTAGGGTTGGCAGGGGCTTAACTCTTCACAAATCATGCTGGAATATTTTTAAGAGCAAAGCAGTGGATATTTTAACCGTGTTTGACATCTAATTAAGGAGGAGAAAGAAGTAGCAAAAAAAAAAAAAAACCTCCATTATAGTTTAGAAACAAAATACTGACAATTGGCTACCAGACGTTTGCTTTGGCAAAACAAGTGTACATATAGAGACAAAAAAAAGGTGATGACAGGCCAATAAAATGACAGAAGAAAAATTGCTTGGACCATTCCTTTTATTCTTGCTGTTGTTCATTTCACAGTTTATTTCACCAAATTGCTAAGCTCTAGGTATATCAATGGAATTGTTATGTAGCTTTAAGGCAGTTTTTGTTTTAAAGAAGGCAGAATAATTCTAATGGATGCCATTGCTAAACAGAGCTTATAAAGAGAGTGTCAAATATATGCATCTTGTCAATATACACAGCTTAGTTTATCAGACAAGTTTAAAGCACATGTGCATAACAAAGGGCTATTCTTATTAAATGAAGTCTTTTAAATGTAGAGAAACAAGTGGTGTCTTCTATACAATGGAGAGTAATCTATTATAATTGAAATAAAATTCTTGAGAAATAATAAGTGTAATTCTCAATTCTATTTAGCACTTAGACAAGTATCTCTAAATCTAGTAGATTTTAAATATTTCATATTTCAAACTTGTTATTCTAAAACTATAGCATACAGCCATTCACATCTTCAAGAAGTAAAGTCGCATGTAAAACTTACTTATAAGGCTTATAAACTTGAATAAAGTGGATCATCAACCCAAGAATTAATCAATGGCATCCTCCCAAAAAGTAGAAACAGAAAGCAAAAACTGAGAACACAGATGCCATAATATCATTAACTATGAAACTAATTTAAAGACAGTTATATAGAGACATCATAGAGATTTAATTAAATATGTAATGGATGTTATATGATTATTTTTTAAAATCTTTCATAATGAGCACAATAGCAATTCTGTTTGCTAATGCTTAAAATCCATTCCCATTTCAATGACCATGGAAAAATTCTATGAAAAATAAATATTTTTTCCAATTCAATGTATTTTATCTAACAAGTCTTAAATCCAAATAAGCACATTTAATAGGTGTTTAATTTTCCAATCCAAAGTGTGAAAATTACCTTTCTCTTTCCTGGTTGTGGTCCTCATTTACACTAGAGCATTCGGAAAGCGATGTTCCCCATCATGTGAAAATTAAATAATATGTTTTCTGGCATAAGAGCAATGTACAGTAGACAGACATCTCTACAGTGAGATTCAATAATTTCTTTCACATTACAGGCTAAAAACGGAATATAATTGAAGCTTCTTGCTGCCCCACCCCCAATTCTCTAAATCAGAATCATAAGAAAGCAGCACCTTAGGGAGCAAAACTACTTGAGTTAAAACATTTTAATCTTCAACTCCATTTTAACGATACCTCAGTTATAGAAATAGTCTCCATTAAAAGTTATTTATATGTACATGTTAGCATTATTTTATATATCTATAAAATTTATCTAAACAAATGTAGAACAAATATTTTCTTTAAGATCCTCATTAAAAAACAAGCCTACACATTAAACTGTAACCAAATAAAGTACTAGCAACCATGTGATAAAGCTTTTTCTTTCTTAAAATTATACTTATTTTGAAGAGAAGTTCATACAACTAGCTGTTCAACTAGAAAGTAATGTCTCAACTTCAATTCTCACTGAGGTACACATGGAATTAAATAACATTCTATTTCAAAGGCTTTAACTTTACAACAATTAACCAAATACACAGTCCTTTGTACAATCATAACACACTGTGGAAAAACTAGTCTGTTCTCTCCAGTTTATATTCTCTTGGCAAACCAAGATCTACTGCTTATGTTAAGCATCTGATTGTCAGATTTGAACAAACTGAATATTCATGATTGCAATTAACCATTTAGTGTCTACAGCTAAGGAGATGCAATTTATCATAACAATTACTATAGGTGAGGCATCCACATCTACAAAGAGACCACTTTTTTTGCCACAGTGGCTTTAAAGATATTTTAATTGAGGTAGACTCAGAAAAATTAACGGAACATATAATCACATATGCAGATCAGCATTTACCAGGCAGTCAGCTCTTCTCTGCAAATGTGATTAAATGTTCTTTGTTTGCATTTAAATTGCCCTATATCAAACAGGAGACATGCTTTTATTCAAAAAAAAGTGTTTAAATCATCTCAGAAAGACACAGACAATCATGTAGGTTTCCCAGGTTAAACTAAAGGTTTTATAGTTTGAGTTGGGAGGGAGTTTAAGGAATGAAAAGGCTGGGGGCAGGGGTACATTACAAAGCTAAACAAATAAAATGAAAATAAAGATTTACCTTTGTACGATAATTTCAGCCTTGGCACATTGTTCCTCCCATTTTGATAGTTTGCTCTTGCTGTAAGTAATACTCCCCAGAAAAGACAGACAATCCTGGCGAACCAGCCCATGCTGCAGACGCTGGAGCTCCCTAAGCTGTTTCAGTCTTCCCTCCTGTATTGTGCGGCCAGAGAAGTTCAAACAATCTGGAAACTGGAGGTAACAGGTGATTTAGGTCAGTTTCATTCATAAATGCGGACAATCAAGACCTCACCGCAACACTAACACCTCTTCTTCTGTAACAGTCACTGAAGCACAGAAACTTCAAACCCTCAAAAAAAAA